GTTTGGTTAGACTGGGTGAAGCGAGAATCGTAGTAGTAGGACAGTAGCTCGATAGAAGTTGTTATCAAATTCTTGAGATGCGCTACCCATTCCGCTTACCCAGAATCTTGTAGGCACCTATTTACGGTTTTTACTGTAGTTCATATTGGCCAGTCGTTTTTTATGTCAGCAGTGCCGTAACATCAAATATAGGGCCAAATGACCAACAACATACAGGGTGGTCCAAAATTATGAGGACCCAGATATTTCATCGCAGCAAACGAACACTGAGCTAATAAAACAAACCAATTTCACAAAAGTGTTTATCACTATTCTCTAAATACACAACGAGATCAAAAGGAATCTGTCGCCAATGGCTTTCACACAGGCACGCAAACGACGAGGGAAAGCGTCGACCGTGGCACGCAGGTAGGATGGGTTGAGTTCGTCCCAGGTTTTTTGCAGTGCCTTCTTGAGACTATCCAGGTTTTTGTGTGGTTTTGCACACGCTTTTGCTTCAAGTACTGACCACACTGAAAAATCCATGGGATTAAGGTCGGGGCTGCTCGGTGGCCACTCGTCAAAGGTTATGAAGTCGGGGAACTCCCTCTTACAAAACTCTTGGACAATTTTCGACTTAGCAGGGGCTCCATCTTGTTGAAACGTCCAGTTAGAATCACCGAAATGTTCTCTTGTCCATGGCAGGAGTTCGTTCTTCAGGAGCTCCAAGTAGGATTTCGCATTAACTTTTACTCCTTGGGGTACGAAGATCAGCGGCGTCTTCGCGTCGGCGGTGATGCCCCGCAAAAACCATCAACGAAAGCGGGGACAAAAACCATCAACGAAAGCGGGATCTTTGCGCTGAATCACTTCTTTCGGTTTTGATTTTGCATAGATCCTGTCGTTCTGTTTATTGAGCACCTGTTCCACAGTAAATATCTTTTCGTCGGTAAATAAAATTTACCTATGACGGTTTCTTCGAAAACGACGTAACAACTGTTGAGAGCGGTCCTTTCTCTTCTTTTTGGCTTCATTACTCAGAAGCCGGCCTTTCGATTGTTTGAAGGCTTTCTCGTGTAATTCTTCGCACAGAACTTCGTGAAATGTTTATTTCATTAGCCATTTTTCGCACAGAACGAGCTCCATTGCGACGTATCCTCTAGCCCACTTTCGAAAAAAAAGAAAATTGTCTAATCTCTAATGTGGAATACAAAAAACAGGTTGTGGATTCGAAAGATCGAAAAAAATCGATAAGCGCGCCCGCATGCGTGGTCCTCACAATTTTGGACCCCCCCTAGAATAGAAATCTCGCTCTGCGCGGCAGGGTTTGACCCACGCCTTGTGCTCATGGTAGCAGTGACTCTAGCCTTGTTCCGTCGAGCAGCGGTGTTACAGAGCAAGGGCTTATGTAATTGCTGGGAGTGAGGTTTATGGTTTAGGTTTCGTGTTAGTCGACTTGCTACTAAGATCTTCCGTCAAAGAAGGTGTTAAAGCTGACTTGAGAACCCAGTTCGACACAGTTTATATCTTCATTGGGATATGAAGACGAAACCAAACACAGACAACTTGCTAAGAGGCTACTAACAGTAGAACACGCATAAATTAAACAGAAAGTTGAAGAAACAACCCAAAAATAAACTGTGAAAACTACTGTAAGAGGATAAGGATAACTGTTCGTTGCTCTGGGGTGCACTGAAGACCAGAAGCCTGATCGATAGATGAATTTCCGCAATCGAAACTCTCATAAGTATGCCAAAACCATTTTAGTGAGATCTTAGGCTGAATAGCGGGAAAGATAAGTGTGACTTTTTGACTTGCTACTTTAACTATAAGTCATTCCTCAGGTTCTTTCACGGTGATTCAGAAGATAGAAGGTAAAGCCAACGATATCTTGAAACATGCGCCATATTTACTTTCTGCACGTAAGTAATAACTGATATTGCGTGAAAAATTGAACTGCACAGGACTAACGATGTACTATTACTGAATGCACAAAATCACAGTAGGCAGCGGTGATGGATGTGATTTTGGCGAGCATTCACCTCCGATAGCGTGGCTTTCGTTCGTTTAGTCCGAAATACCATTACTTCTTTCGTCCCATCACAATTGTTCCGCCGATCCTTGGTATCCTTTTGGCTGGAAGTTCGAACGTGCCCACCTGAAATCATTTGTATAAGCCGTTTTTTCTGGCATAAAGTGTGCTGGCGGTAAGATGTGTAGGCAGATTTGGGGTTCATACGTGTCATTGTGACAAAGGTGAAGCCAACTATCAATACGGTAACACTTCTTACAGTGCAAGTTCGCCGCAGTGTTGTGCATGAAATGTGATATTCTGCTTGAGAGAGCTTTCAATAGTGTGTGACCTCATGACTCCCCGTGGTCCACATGTGGGAAATAAACTGGATAACTTCAAATGTGTACTAGTGGGTGTGGTATAGGGGCTCAGATAGTACAGCGCTTGTCCTAAGAGGGGAAAGCAGGTCCGATGCTAGGATGGGGCTAAGAGAGGAGAGGAGCGTCAAGGAAAGCACTGATTGCTAATTTCACAGAATCTCCTGGCCTGTCTAAGGGTTAGTCCCTTGTGTTGTAATTGACCCACTCCGTAGAATGATTCCTCCTCCCAACGACATGCGCGCCTGAGATTACGGCGTTTATGTGAGGAGAGTTTTCAGGACATAGCACCGAACCGTTGTAGCCATGATCGTATTAACCGGCTGTAAATGGGAGTGTCTAAGGTCGTTCGCTTACAAATTACGTCCTTCCTGAGCGATATGAATTCATGCGCAGAGGCCAGTTCAATTTTGGTGTTGTTAGTCCCTTCTTGACCTCAATTGGTGAGTTCCACTGTTAGACTGGAAGTACACTCAATAACTGGAACGAATGGTGTTCCATAGAATGGGATTTGTTATCAACTTCTCGAGGAATGCTGTGTGGGAGATATGTCACTTTTATGCGGGTGTCTGCAATTTACAGAAGGCAAAAGAAGGCCTACAAGCGCTGTTGAAATGAGGATCCAGGTTGTTCATGTCCAGTCAGACAATGTGAGATTTCCTAAGGCGTTTTCATATTCGGGTTGACTGTCTTCCCAAAAAATAGAGTATTCAAAAGCAGCTGTACCTCTCGTTGTAATCGCGACAACGGTCTGTCGTAGTATCTTCGAAGTATCTCCTGTTCGAAATCGACATTTCTTTGTAAGCGTCATTGAGTGGTCTGTAGTTGGCTGGTACCATCATTTCGAAGTCTTTGGATGGTCGTGCAAATGCAGTGCACATTCCCAGTAGAAGCATCAAAAGAATGCGGTGCATCGTAAGAAAGAGTACCCAGTTACTGAAACGGAGATGAGTTAAGGTCAAAACGAATATGTTAAACAAGGAAGCATATCGACAGAGAAGTTTGTAGAAAGGTGCAGATGTGAAAATAATAAATAGGATTCTAATTAGAGCCGCTACAGGAGCAGTGCTAGAACTGCAGAGTTATATCGCACTTAGTAGTAGACCTCCAAGGAGCGGTTGCGTCGAAAACGGAATGAGTATTGCTCAAGAAAGGGCATGGCAGTCCAAAGTCTCTATGAGCAAGTCTGAAAATGACAAGGCAATTCATCCGAGTTGGGCTACTTATAAGGGAGCCAAGGTCGCGTATGGGAAAGCACGAGAGACGTAATGAGCCGTGGCGGCGGCTCGAGAAGGGGGCGGGATTTGTGGCTAGGTTTGCCTGTACTAGAAACACCGGATATGTTGGTGGGATTAGGACTGATAAGAGACAGCTAGGGCGGAGCTCACTTCTGCTACTATATCCATCTATTCATGAGGAATGAGCCGTGTGGGTGGAAGAGAAGTGCGGAAGTTTTTGTTAGTGCAGATGTCGCCCACTCATCTGAAATGATCTGTTTCTACAGGAAACTCAGAACTGGCTTCAAACAATTACTGCATCTGTATTAAGACTCAAATTGTGAAGTTGTTAGTAATGATGCCGGGTAAAGGAAGTTTCTGGATGTGGTTTTACACAATCGCGTGAACGTAATGCGGCTACCATATCCATCTACGTATAAGTTATCTTATGCACTATGTCGTAATCCACGTTGCAAGCTAGGGGGTGCGAGATATCTCGTCGTAAGCTCATCTTAGCCATCAGATCACTTTGAAAGATCATTTTGCTATTGTCGCGTGCTTTGAAGCAGCGACAACGGCAATATGGCCTTCTGTGATACTTGTGGGCTATTCTATCCCACTTACAGAATTAAAGCTTTTACACGACCTCATCTGGGCGGTTCTGAATTGTTTTGAATAACAAGACTAGAGAATGTACGCCTCGTACCTGTGGCCCCTAAGTTGACAATCTTTTGAAAGATTTAGACTGGTTTCCGGCCGTTTTATAATCGAATAGTGAAAGAAGTTCATGTAGGTCAATCGTCCCTTGAGATACGCCGCGCATCGAACTTCTATTCGGAATTTTACTGGCATTTGAATGTGATTTTACCTGGATGATGAGGTGCCAGCCAACATGCAATTTAGCCTTTTGTCCTATTTGACTACTCCGCTGTTAAGTACCCAAATACAGAAGGTGGAAGATTTGCTTGGCCTGAGATTCGATCAGGTATTTGAGCGTAGCTCTATAACATGATGTGGGCATGGTTATGACGTCACTTGTCACTGCACCACCTACGCCAAATTTCAAAGCTTATTACGAGTCAACTGTGCAATCAAGTGTCCCTATTATTTTGAGAAGAGATCCGATGGGCGATAAATCTTTATGCAAGGAAGCGGGTTGATTTTTTTTATTTTACTATTTTAAGAAGGGATCTAATTGGCGATAAATTTTCATCCAATGATGACTGGTTTTTTTAATCACATCCTGATCTTTCCTCGGGGAAGTTATGTGAGAAGTAATCTATGGCGCTAGCGAAATGAGTCATAAAAAATCCTCTACGAGTGGCGCATGTAAATCATGGACTAATTTGGAGCATAAATTGTCATGGACGTAAGCTATGAACAGGAGTGATTGGTAATTAAATGCTGTAGGAAATGCGGGCTGTCAGTGAGATAATTACGACGTATTCACTCAAACTTCTGTCTACGTCACATACAGGATTCAGCTCCAGACTCAATTTCCAGGGCACAAAGGAGGTCGCTCAGAAGCAACTAAAGGATATACTAGCAATGAGCGTCGGTGGTGGTGCTCGGCCAGTCCAAGGTGGAGCGCACCAAAACGCCGCTGCTCCAATGGGAACCGCAATGCCAATGGGAGGACCTCGTCCAGCTGGTCCAGGCGGTCCAATGCCAGGCGGAGCACCTAATGCCGCGTATCCAGGTGGTCCAGCAGCGGCTCCTGCTGGTCCACAGCCCACCACGTTCAACAAATTCCTTCAGGTAATTGATCAAAACTGTTGGTGTTTCTGAGTTTCACTGCTTTTTTCTATTAGGTCGGTCCACAATTTTTGAGAACCTTTGGTGTTTTTCGATTTATTACTTATCTTATTTCTCTGATCTACTTATCCAGCATAGTATACATCATTATTATTAACAACATATCACCAATGCGAGGGTGGGTATTCAGTGCCTCTCTTGTGGACTTTCATAGAGTTCTGATCGAAGGAAAATTGTAGTCCCGAATCAGTTCTCAACCCAATCTGACATCATCAAGTTCCTGTTGGTTTCCCATAGTTCCTTCGGATGACCATCTATAATACTCATTGGTGATGTGGACTGGGTGCAGTGTGCTAACAAATCCACGAGCCGCAGTAGATTTGCTCAAACGATTCGGGAGTTCTGACAGTACAAACCCAACTCCCTCTGAATTCGAACTTCCTGAGTCGTTGGCGCAATACGGGAGGGCCTTTGCGCTGAAGACCGGCATCAACTAATACCAGTGTCAGTGATGGGAAGAATCGTTGACAGCTTGATGGCAACGCCTTCAACTTGAAAGCAAAGGAAGACAAAATCTATTTTTCTCTGAGGTCGTTCGAGCCCGCCTTGCTAAGAAAATTCCTAAAAAATTGGAGACTCTCGGGCGGTCAGTTCTTTTAGCTCCGCCTTATAGCACTAATCCTGCGTCAACGAACGACTATCCGCTCTCCTCTCTCAATCACCTTCTGGAGAAGAAATCTCACTTGAATCACCATAAAGTCAAAATCGACATCCAATATTTCTTCGATCAGAACTCTATGAAATTCTACAAGAGGAGACACTGAATACCCACCCTCGCATTGGTTATATGTTGGTAATAATGGTGATGTATACTGTGCTGAATAAATACATCAGAGAAATAAGATAAGTAATTAAGTCGAAAAACACCAAAGGTTCTCAAAAATTATGGACCGACCTAATAATTTACTGTGCCTTTTTCAGCCAATCAGTCGAGTGTGATGAGTCGATTAACGACATAATTGATCAAATCAGTGTGGATCGCTGGCCAGTACCACAGGGTCATAGACCGCTTCGCGCCACTGGCGCCGCGCTGGCAGTAGCAGTCACATTGCTGGAGGTGAACACTCATTTCCATAATGAGGTCCAGTTGGCTCTAAGGTTTTGGTAATCCTAATTCAACTTTTAGCAATGCTTCCCCAACACTGGCGCTCGCATCATGGCATTCGTCGGTGGAGCATGCACCCATGGACCTGGTGCTGTCGTTGGCGAAGGAACTTAAGCTGCCAATTCGTTCATGGCACACCATCAAGGAAGACAATGCCATTTACATGAAGAAGTGTGACGAAATTTCATAGAGTGTTCAGGGCATTTTTTCTAATTCCTTGGAATTTCGTTTTGCATTAAGAGCCCATGGATTCCTGAAATTTAGGCCACAAATTCTATGATTCGCTAGCGAGTCGTGCCGTGAAAAATGGACATGCGATCGATATCTACTCGTGCGCACTCGATCAAACTGGTCTTCTAGAGATGAAGAACTGCTTCAATTCGACAGGAGGTGCTTATTTTACTTAATGAATTCTGTATCAAAAATTGCTTGGGCCCAACCAAGAAATCTAATTCTTTTCGGCATCCAATGGGTATCAAGCCAAATTGAGGGCAATTTATGCCTTCGATCATCGTTGGTACTGGGATACACTTACCAGGAAGGCATTCAACTTCCCATGGAACTTTGAGAATGAGACCCAGATATATCGATAGAGCTTCAAACGCTGATTACAAATATGGAAACTAAATACTGCAAAATGAACCTGCCAAGGAAGTTGTGCAGTCAAATAGGCCTTGAAAGTAAAGCATTACATATGAGCCGTGCTAGCTTCCGGTCTTTCAGAGTTGCCGTGGTGGGGTAGTGGTAGTGCCCCCGCTCACCATCCAGGAGGTCCTGCGTTCTCTTTCTGTTGTAGTGCAACTTTTGAGCGAATCACCACTACTCCATGGCGACTTCGAATGCTTGAATGGTACCACGTTTCATATGAAACGCTTTGTTTCCAGCCAATTTTGAGTGCTCACAACTGACTTGGCAGGTCCATTGTGCAGTTTTAGTTTTCATAATTGTAATCAGTGTTCGAAGCTCTGTCGACATATTCTTCGGGTCTCGACTCAAAGTTCCATGGGAA